GTTTTAGAAAATAACAAGCGGCCATTTAATGGTGGTTTATAATTAATTTTGTTATGCATTTACTTGCCATTCATTGATTTAAAAGTCGTGATTTACATATTTACCCACGTTTATTTTAGTAATGGTTTTTGCCGTCATAGAAGGACATAGTTCACCCCTTTCTTCTGTGAACTCTTCCACATTTATTTTTATTAGTTTTGAGTAAGCCCCCGTTTGGCCCCCATTATTCCAAATTATAATGAGAAGAATAGCAATTTTTTTGGAAAAGGTGTGGTTAAAAAGAAGGAAATATTTTTGAATTTACGTGTAATACTATTTTATTGGAGAATGTGTGATTGATAAAAAGAGAGAAAAAAATGAATTATAATTTAATGGGGAATAATGGGGGGCAAACGGGGGCTTAGACTCTTAAAGGGGGCGTGAGCATGCATGCTCATTTTAACTTGATAGGGGCGTTTTAGGGGGAAAAAAAATCATAAATTGGGTATTAACTATCACTAAATCAATTTTTAGGCCTTAAGTTTAAAAATTACAAAAATCAGGTATTTGTTAATTAATGTTTTCTACTATTAATTCAAGGGAAGAATTCATGGATCAGATTTTAACTATCACCAAATCAATTTTTAGGTCTTAATTTAAAAATTGCAAAAATCAGGTATTTATTAATTAATTAAATATATTAAAATTACAAATATACATTTCATGGTCAATGATGCATATTTATATGTCACATTTTATCAAATTAATTGGTCATATATTATTTTTCGATCACAAATCAGAAAATTTATAAGTCGAAGATTTTGTTACGATCACAGATTAAAATTTTCATAGGTCACAAATCAAAAAATTAGTAGGTCACAAGTCACAAATCACAAATATTATGAGTCACAACTTATTAATCAGTCACAAATTATCAAATTTTTTAGGTTACACGTAATTTCATGGTCACAAATTATCTTTTTCATTGTCACACATTAATCAATTTAATAGTCACAGTCGACCAAATAATTGATGACCGCCACCAACACTTGCGAACCTCCGACAACACCACCATTACCACCGCGTCGAACCATCACCACTGCCGCCAAACCACCATAATCGCCGCGCCACCACGACAGTACCACTACCAACAAAACCGTCACCACCAGATCTAACAAAAAAAAAATGTCAAACCTGCCACCACCTCCCCCTACCGATGCCAACACCACTATAGACATCACTACCACATTACACCACCATCGTCGCCACCAGATAACACCAACAGAGAGACAACACACCGCCCCAATCGCCATATCCACCACCACAAAATCGCTAACACACAAGACACCATCATCACCACCACACAAAACACCACCCGATCTAGTCGCGGTGCTTCGCCTGTGAATAGTCGTCGGAGTTGGTAGATCTGCTTCGCAAATACTGTTTAATGGGTAGGAAAGAAGGAGGTCCACGTAACCAAAGATCATTGAAGGCGCATATGGACCGTCCATCTTCAACTGTCCAGCTAGCCCCTGTTTATTTCTCCGGGCAAAGAGGTCCCCTCCATTGCATTCAGTGGCGGATTTAGAATTTTGAGTTAGCACTGACGGTCGTTGATGGCCGCAATAATAATCAATATCGTGAATTTAAATTACTTATATCGTAGTTCGAATTAGAAGTGGGGGTGTACGTTATCTACTAATCTAATAATGTTTATCGAGTAACAATTTGAAGTTTGAAAAAAAGGTTCAATTATTTACTTTCTTGGTTCGATTTGCTAATAATTTCAGTTTAACAGAAAAAATGACCATTTTAACAATCTCATTATGAGGTCGAATTTTAGTTAAAAAAATTTTAAAAACAAAGAGGGAATATATTTATTATTTGATAAAAGATCGTATACGATTTTGTTACGTTAAATATCAATATCCACCAAATGTCATAGTGATCGAGTGTTTCATAATTCCAATGGTGATCACAAGTTCGAATCTTCCAATTGCACCGATTTTTATAATGCCTATATACTCCAAAATGTTGAAAAAATATTAAACTAAAATAATTTAAAAAATGATTGCTATAGTTGAGATTCGAACTACGACTCTCATTTACTTAGATGATACTCTAACCAACTGAACTACAATAGCCTTGTGTGAATAAAAGGAAATCACAGTTATATATCCCAATAAATAAATACATTGACCCAAAAAAATATTGAATGCTTGTGAATTCAGCACGGGCGGCCTCAGAGCTCGTCGGGTGCTGTACCCGACGCTGCTAACACTGCATCCCTTACTCTATAAAATATCCGTTAGTTTTCCTGTTTGTACATTAACAATCAGACAATTAGGTGTGGTAAATTGGTAATTGATGCAGTCCAAAAACATAATTCATCGGACTTTGGACTTTGCTGTTGTCTTCAGACTTCGCATTATGAAGTTCGAAGAAGTCGCCTCATCCATGTCTATTAATTCAACCTCCATTTTAATGACGTTGACTTCCTCGATTGGTCATACATTCAATCCCATCTATCACATTTCGGTCATATAAGATTTCTCCTTCAAATGCCAAGTCGTTCTCATAATCTATGAAGTTCGGATCGTCCTCGTAATCTGTCATAAAATGAAAGTACTACATAATTTAATCAGTAGTGGCACAACATATAAAGGTTATGATTTATGAAGTGAAAGTATATACACTAGAGTGAAAATATAATGATCATACTGGGTGTAGACTTGCTGAATTCTTAAAAGAAAATAATATAGACTTCGCAACAAATTTAAATCACAACATCAGGGAAATGCAACATAAGTTTGGGGAACACATTCAACAAATAGATTATGTGCATGGTCAGGGATTGAAGATAATTATTGTCAGTAAAAATAAAAAATTTGGGAGGTCTCAATCAATTTCATAATTCAGGCAAAACACCAATTACATATAAATTCAGGCAACTAATTTCAAAATCATCATATCTTTCATTTATAAATGAAACACTATTTTCATATGAAAAATTAATATCATATTCAAAACCAATACAAATGAAAACCCATCTTTTATCACTGTAAACAAATCAAGAAATCCCCAAAAAAATGGAAAATGAAAGAAAAGCTCACCATAGTAAATTCGAAATATGTTAAAATAGCATCACAAAGTCATTTTACTCTATGAACTCTTCCTATGAAAAAAAAAAACAAATGATTTGAGAATTACCCGGTCTCTCCACATGCATGACTTCAATAATCCAAGATTTTGTGGTCCTCAATTGATCGCTCCTGCTTTGATTTTGAGCTTAGGGTTTTGGAAAATTTAGGGATTTTTCTTTTGGTTGGGTGATTTTGTGTGGGTTTGGAAAGAATAGAGAATTGCGTTTTGGTCAGGAAGGGAGAGGCGTGTTTGCTAGTCCATGATTTTGATGAGGTATCGTCCACATTGATATCTCTTTTAAATTTTGGATGTAGTTAATTGTCACATGCGATTTTCGTCATCTATATAGGCAAAAATTCAAACGGAAAACATCCCGTGAGCGGTGGAATGCAAAAACTTAAAGGTACGTGGAAAACATTGTAAAATTCAGTAAATAAGTCGTGGTATAAGTCAAAGTTGAATGGGATCTTAAACATTTAACTCTTTCTACCGACAATCCAAGATTAGCCTTTTGGTTCTATGATTATAGCTTCCGTGAATTGGATATTTTATGGGTTTATTACTGTATAGTGATTTTATTTTGGTGGTATTTTATTGGAAACAAGAAAAGAAGAAGTGATCTAATTTAAGATGTCCAAATTTATTAGAGTTGGTGGTTAGACGGCGACCACGGTTGTGGGAAGAAGAGGTAGGTGGGAAAGAAATGAATGGTGGTAGTGGTGGTGGAAGATGATGATTTTTTTTTTTAAAGTTTTGATTTTTTAATAATTTATTTGCACTTTTTAGAAATTTTGGGATTATAATTATTATAATTAGTTTTTAATTTAATTTTTGTTTTATTTAAATATGAGGGTATATTTTCCATTTTACTGTTTTTTATTGTGAAAATAAACCGTATGTGGTATTTCGCACTAAATGTTTCAAATAGAAACATTTTGTGCTATTTTCAAACGATAAGGGTTTTCAACGGTATGCACAATAAGTAGGTGGTTTTGCATTGTTTAATCTAAATAGTATTGGTTGAAATGAGTATTGGAGTAATAATTTTTTTTTTGGAGAATGCGTCTCATTAGAAAGTAGATTTTTTTTTTTTAATTTTATGTGTAAAATATTTTATTTTTAAAAATATGTGATTGAAAATAAGCCACTGTTTGGTACACATTCTTTCAAAATACATTATTTCAAAACTCATTTTCAACTACACATTTTTCAAAAAAATAATATTATCCTTCACACCAATAACTTTTCCTTACTTTTTAATCACATATTTTCCATTATATCACTATTTAGCCCCTGTTTGGGCCACATTATTTTTTTTCGTTCTCATTCTTCTACTCATTTTTAACTACACATTCTTTAATAAAATAATATTTTCTATCATATCAATAACTTTTCCTTCTTTTTCAACACACATTCTCCATCAATCTACTATTCTAAAATACATTCTTCCAAAATAATATGGCTCAAACACACCCTTAAAATACATAATTTTTTCAATAATATCAATCAAACACACCTTAAATTTAAGAAAAAGAAAGTGGAGATATTTTCTTGTTTTAATGGTTAGGAAAAATTGCAGTCGAGGTACCAAACCTTTTAGTTAGTTGCAGACGTTGCCCAAACCTTTTATTTGTACCACAAACGGTCCAAAATAACAATTTCCGTTAGTTTGACCCAAAAAATGGTCAGTTGACCCATAAATTAAAAATCTAATAATTTTCTCTAAATAAGGTGAGGGCATTTTGGATATAATACATTTTCTCTAATAAAAAAAAAATAAAAAACAAAACAAAACCACCCCACCCCATCTTTTTCTTCTCCAAAATTTTCACCCACTGAGACACACCCAGAAAAAGAAAAGCCTGCCCAAACTCTCGCCCTGTCGAGCCCCACCCGGCCCACCACCGAGTGTTGAAACTCTTGAGTATAGACGTCCCTACAAGCATCACAAATTGGATCTCTAGGACAATTTGTTATTCAATTTAATTGAAAAGAGCATGCAAAATAACAGATATGATTCTAGCACAAAAATTGGTCAATTTTACAGAGAAATCATCTTTCTTGAGCTCATAGATCTTAACCTCTTCCTCTACACCATTGACAAAAAATCCAGATAATAAAACAAGAAAACAGAAATATACAGAAACCTCCTCAAACCTTAGCTCGTACCCAGAAATCAACAAATTCCAAATAATCAAGTTCCTCAAACTATCCTGTCAAAAATCCCTTTTGCCTTGTCGACATCACCCTTCTTAAAATGCCCAGATATCATCACCGACCAAACATAAAATTTCCTTTTTGTCATTTTCTCAAACATTTCCTACACAGAGAATCGAAGTTATATATCTGATACATATCAAGCAATTCACAAAACTAGTAAAATAATCCACATAATGCAATATTACCTTTGATCGGTGGTGGTCGGGGCTAGAGTTTGGACCGGCTTTTCTTTTTCTGGGTGTGTCTCAATGGGTGAAAATTTTGGGGAAGAAGGAGATGGCGGGTGGGGTGGGGTTGTAGTTTTTTTTTTTATAATTTTTTATTTTTTTTTTTTTTATTTCAAAAAAAAAAAAAAAAAAAAACCGATCAGAACATGGATGGTGGGAAAATGAATTCCCCAAATATCAGACAAATGGGCGCGTTGGTTGGGGGGTGGGAAAATGTTTTCCTTGGAAATTTTTTGTCATCGAACAACACATACGGAAAAAACTATCCAATCAAACAGGGCCTTAAGGTGTCTTTAATTGTCAATATTTTTCATGAAAAATGTGTTTTTTTCACCTGATTCCTTTCTTTTGTACTGTTTGATTGACTTTTTTTTCACGATAAATATTTTCATACTTTTGATCACGTAACCATATTTTTCTTGAAAATAAAAAAAATATTTTATTTTTTTTTTAATTTTTTATTTAATAGAAGAAATATATTATGTCCAAAATGTCCTTACTTTATTTGGAAAAAATTATTAGATTTTTAATTTCTGGTTCAACTGATGGTTTTTGGGGTCAAACTAATGGAAACCGTTATTTTGGACATGAGCTGCGATTTTTTTAAAGATTTGGTATCGTGGGTGGTACAAATAAAACATTCGGGTAACATCTGCAACTAATTAGAATGTGTGGTACCTCGGCTGCAATTTTTCCAAATGGTTATAAAATCAGAACTATAGTTTTCGTCGTTGGATGTGATTTTTACTCGATTATTTTGGACTGAGAAATTGGGAGGAAATATTCGACAGAAACGCTCAGTTGATTCTATTCTATAATCCCTGGTGCGATCAAGTCGTGGAGGAAGATAATCAATAAAGATGATGGTCGATCTGAGCGCGTTTTCGGACGAAAATTTCGATCCGAAGAAATGGATAAACAGTGCGGTGCAGCAGAGGCACCCGCAGGATCCGCTCGACAAGCATTTGGTGGATCTGGAAATGAAGCTCCAGATGGTTTCCGAGGAGATCGCCGCCTCTTTAGAGGAGCAGAGTGCTGCTTCACTTCTGCGCGTCCCACGCGCCACTCGTGACGTCGTCCGCCTCCGTGATGACGCTCTTTCACTTCGCTCCTCTGTTGCTTCTATCCTCCAATATCTCAAAAAGGTGCCATTTACTACAGCGCTTTGTTATTCTTTTGTTTTACTGATTGGAATTTTGGCAGCTAGTTGAAAGTTAAGAAAAATACAATATGGCGATAATTAATGAATTGCAAAGATGTCATTGAGCTGCTAGCATGTTTGTCACTCTTTTATGCATTTGTTTTACTAAGTAGTAATTTTGGCAATGTATTCAAATTAAAGAAAATGCAATTCTGGCTGTAAGTGATAATTTAATCTATGAATGAATTGCAGAGATGTCGTTGCGCTATCAGCGTGTCAATATGATTCAAATATGCGAAAAAGCTATGCACATATCCATAACTATAAAAATGTTAGTATTTTTGATTTCTGTCCCACCAATATCATTCCAGATCCTAATTTTGATTTCTTTCTCAGGCAGAGGGGTCCTCTGCAGAGTCAATAGCTACACTTGCCAAAGTTGATACAGTCAAACGGAGAATGGAATCTGCTTACGAGACATTGCAGGTATTACCTATTTTAATAGCAGTTTCTTCAGTAACTCCTGCAAAGGATTATCTAGTTTTAGTAGTGATTGGTTACTAAGGAGTATGGTGGCATGCGAACAGGATGCTGCTGGATTGACTCAGCTGAGCTCAACTGTTGAGGATGTCTTTGCCAGTGGTGATCTTTCCCGAGCTGCTGAAACATTGGCTAATATGAGACACTGCCTGACTGCTGTTGGAGAGGTAATATTCACTCAATTTCATCTCAACTATTCGTTTAATTTCATTGTTAAGGGATTGTCAAAATAGTTTGATTTATGAACTCCAAATTTTCAGGTTGCTGAATTTGCCAATATAAGAAGGCAACTTGAAGTCTTAGAAGAAAGACTAGACTCAATGGTGCAGCCTCGTTTGACAGATGCATTGACCAATCGCAAGGTGGCTTTCTTACTATAATTTTTGTTTATTCTTTCTCATAATTGTTTCTTTTTTTGTATATGATTACTTGTATTGTTAACTACTTTATATGCGTGTGTACACACACACGCACACACACACTTTTCTCCCTGATTCCCCAGTACCTTTTCTTTACAATTTGGGTATCCTACTTTCTAGGTTGATGTTGCCCAAGAAATGCGGGGAATACTCAATCGCATTGGGAGATTTAAGTCTTTAGAGCTTTGCTACATCAAAGTCCATCTCAAACAGATAAAGAAGCTCTGGGAAGATTTTGACCTTAGGCAACAATCTAGTAAGCTTGCAAATGATAAGTATGAAGTAGAGAGGCTTTCAAGTAGCCATGATTCGCAATCAAATATGTCCACAATTTCGTTCTCCAGTTGGTTGCCGAGTTTCTATGATGAAATGCTGCTGTATCTGGAACAAGAATGGAAGTGGTACTGAAACTAATTTTCATTTCTTTTCTCTAAAGTTATGCTTTTGTTTTTTGATCAAAGCACATAACTATAATTAGTTTATGAATTTGTTTAACAATTGATTTTTGAGGATGCTTCTACCAGACACATAAGCATACATTTGAAAGGAAAACAATTGCAACTTTTTTTATATGAGTTTCAGTTGTATCAAGATTAGATATCATATTTTATGTCTAACAAGAAAGTCTTGTTAATCTGCCCACAAGATATATGTTAAGCAGCACAAATAGATAAACTCACCCTGAGAGGTGATTTCTACAATTTTTTAAATGTAATCTATTATCTTGCTTTTGTAAAATTCTCTTTTTCTTCATCTTCTTTCATTCCTTCTCCCGGTTTCATTTGAAATTAACGTGTTCTCCCTATTCCATCCCCTACAAAAAAAATTAAAAATAGAAGGAAAACATTACCAAACCTCACAGGGAAAGGAAGTCAAAAGTGAGAAACATATGCAGGGGGGTGGCGGCAAGAGCACGGTTGCTTGAAGTAAGACAAATATGTAATAGATGAAGCGTTAAAGGGAGGAGTAGAGCCAAATCTGGAGCCAAGACAACTGTAAGAAGAGTGAGACCCAGACAGAGATGTAATAAGTTACTTACTGAGTATTTAGGTTATTTGCTCAATCAAATTATGAGAAAGAATAACAATGCTGCAATTATTGATCATCATCTATTTTCTACGCAAGCTGTCATCTTGACTTTGTAGCTGCTAGCTCAGTAGCATGGCATACATTTTGTGTCCTTTTTTCAGGAGGTTTTTGTCTTGGATAGCAATTGTTTATAAACATGTAACACGAATGTCAATGATACATCATTTGTAGATTTCTGATTTTAGTGATATCGAGTAATGTGAAAATGAATTTTCAAGGATTATGAAGCTCAACAGGGCTTAAGGGTAGAGAAATTTCTTTTAACTTTTTAAAGGAAAAAACAGCCTGGAATTTCAATGGTCTGCCTCAAATATATGTTTTGCACAACATGAAAGTAGATAGTGTAAAAGATTTTGATTTTCTCTCAGTATCTGAGAGTGCATCCCCCACTCTGTGTGTTGTGCTTATGCCCCCCATGGATGGTATACTATCTTCTATTATCGAAAACTAACTTTAAATCAAAAATTGATTTTAATTGCCTCTATAATTTTAAGAACAACTAAATAGTATGCAGATGAATTTTATCTGATCTTCGCAGAACGCATCTTGTCATAAAATTAGAACTTCTTGCACAATTTTGTGTTAAACTTTTTGCATATGCATAAAAATCTGCAAACATTATGTATGCTATTCTACTTCTCTAAGCACGAAAGGATAGAGGCAACTGAGAGATGTCCTTCTTTTGTTGGTTCATGCCAATTGCTTGCAAGAGATGCCCCCTTCTTTTTGTTCTCTTCTTATATTTGCAAAGATTATTGTGACAGAAATTAATCGGTCAACACATCTAAACATTCTCTGCAGGTGTTTGGTTGCTTTTCCAGAAGATCACAGAACACTTGTTCCTAAGTTCTTGATAGAGACAATATCCACCATTGGTGCAAGTTTTGTATCCCGAATCAACCTTGCTACCGGGGATGTTGTTCCTGAGACCAAAGCATTGGGCAAAGGTTACATTAATTTTTTTTTTTTTTTTAATCTAAATATATTTGGAGTTTCAGACTAAGGATTAAAGTTGTTTTTAGTGATATGTAAACAGGGGGGCTTGTGATAAGTAGGTTTCAGCTCTACTAAGCTATAGATAAAGAATTAACGGTGCTGTTTTTGAAAGTATTAGAATCAATGCACTATGGGTAATGTGAGGATTCTCAAGAATCTTTTTCTTGTAGATGTGGAATAGTGGATTTTTATAATTGTAAATATAATTAAAGTTCATTTGATTGAGTTCCTTCATCTGGTCATAAAGCATATGTTATTAAGAGTGCCAGTTAGTTACATCCTATATATTTAAGAAGAAAAAGGTGTCCAATTAAATGAGCCCTTCATTTATTCTAGCATGATGAAGTAGCCACCCATGAGATCTTATTTCATGATCAGTTGCTTACTCAACCTTTTGATACCTAGCTTATTCTGAGTCAAGTGAAGTAAACATTAATACTTTAGTCTTATTCAAAAGAAGATAGTGATAGCGTAATGCGCTTCTCCGCAGTTAGTTAAATGATAGAACGTGCTAATAGGTGGTAGTAGTATGGTACATTTCTGCTTCTCTGGAAATATATCATGTTGGTTTCTTCATTTCTAGTCTGACGTTGTCTTCGACAGTAAAGCTGAGATTGTATTTTAGGTTATGGTTTATATTGCATTCAGTCCCTAGACTGCTTTTCTTAACTGTTAATAACTTTTAGTGATGATATATACTCCTATCCTGCTTTGATTCCATTCTTACAATTTCAGGTATATTAGATATCTTATCCGGGGATTTATCAAAAGGTATCAAAATTCAGAATAAGCATCTAAAGGCTCTGATAGAACTACACAAAATAACGGGGAGTTTTGCTAGGAATGTTCAGCATCTGTTTTCAGACTCCGATCTTCATGTTCTGTTGAACACATTGAAGGCGATCTACCTTCCTTATGAAACTTTTATACAAAGGTATATGAATGTGAAGTACATTTGAATGGTTTTTGGTGGTTTCTGCCATGTGATTTTGAAAAAGATTTAACTGCCTTCTACAGTAGAGTATCCTATTCTTTAGTGGGCCTTCTAAGAGTTCTAATTGCTAAGTGATGAACGACACAAAGAAAAATGGTTCATATAGATGACTCCAAATTAACTGGTAACAAGGCTTAGTTTGTTATCATAGTATTTTGAATGCTTCCATAAGAAGACATTGCACACAGATTTAATGTAGATTTTGCGATTGTAGGTTTAAATAGTCTTAGAAGTTTGATTCTGCTAGTTTTTTTTGGCTAAACACTGAATTGGTGTATTATGGACTCTGCTGTGCAGGATGATAATTATTGTGTATATAATACATCCTGCTTATAGATCATTTCCGAATCAATGTAACTCGATTTATCAACTTGCTTATTTGTAATTTGTGTTCTAGGTATGGGCAAATGGAGCGTGTAGTGCTATCTGGTGAGATTGCAGGACTTGATCTTAGAGGAGTTACTACTCGCATTATTGGTGTACAGGGAGTCGAACTCAGTGAGACAGTTCGAAGGATGGAAGAGTCCATCCCTCAAGTCATTCTACTACTTGAAGCAGCTGTTGAGAGATGCATTAACTTCACTGGTGGTTCTGAGGCCGATGAGCTAATTCTCGTTCTCGATGACATGTTGCTACAATACATTTCCACTCTTCAGGGTAACCTAAAATCACTCAGATTAGTAACTGGAGTGGATGTGTCATCTGAAGGTGCTGGTGCAAAGAAGGAAACAGGATCAGATAGAAAAGAAGGAGCTTCACATGCTCGTAAAGTTGATTTTATGTCAAACGAGGAGGAGTGGTCATTTGTTCAGGGTGCTTTACAAATTCTCACGGTTGCAGATTGTTTAACAAGCCGATCTTCAGTCTTTGAAGCTTCGTTGAGGTCAACTCTCTCTAGATTGAGCACTAATTTGTCTCTTTCCGTATTTGGTACAAGTATTGATCAACACCAATTAAATGTGGCTGCTGCTGATGGAAGTGGGGAATTGTCCATGGCTGGAAAAGCTGCCTTGGATGTGGCAGCTGTTAGGCTTGTCGATGTTCCTGAGAAGGCTCGGAAACTTTTAAACCTATTGGAGCAGGTATTCGGTCTTTCTTACATTTCCATCTTTTTCAAGAAACGGGGATTTGATTTTGAATAAAGTATTTTGGAGAACAGTATAGCTTAAAATAATTACACTTTTGTAGAACTATGATTTTGACATGAAACATGAAAAATGACAAACCGTGACAACAATATAAAATTTGCTTTCATTTGTTTCTAATTCTTCCTGTAAAACCGACATATATGTTTATGGATACTTCACACTTTTCTTATTTGTAATTTGATGATATCCAAATTACAAGTTTTTCATGGTTCTTGCAGTCAAAAGATCCTCGGTTTCATGCACTTCCAATCGCATCTCAAAGAGTAGCAGCTTTTGCAGAGGCGGTCAACGAGCTAGTTTATGATGTGCTTATATTAAAAGTGAGGCAGCATTTTAGTGATCTGTCTCACCTGCCCATATGGTCTTCAGTTGAACAACAAAGTTCTTATCACCTTCCTAGCTTCAGTGCATACCCCCAGTCTTACGTGACCAATGTTGGTGAGTATCTTCTAACTTTGCCCCAACAACTGGAGCCGCTTGCTGAGGGTATTTCTAGCAGTGATGCCAATGCCGAGGAGGCACAATTCTTCGCAACAGAATGGATGTTCAAGGTAACAGCCCTTCTAACACTGCCATATTGTTTGTGACTTCATATGTGAGCAATACATAAATAAATTCACATATGCTATGCATGCACACAGATGACTACATATTCTGTGCATTCGTTGAAACATGTATCTCGATGACCCTGCTTATGGCATCTTGTAAGGAGTCACTAATTACAGTCAGATCTACTGCGAGTTAATTTAATTATGTGCTAGCAAATTGTCTAGGATTATGTTTGGCTAAGCTTAAACGCAACTTTTTGCGTTAAAAAATATTTGCTCGCTTTTTCTCACTTGTTAAAAGAAGTTGTTTATTTTGATAGCAATTCTTACCTTCTAAAATTAAGTTAGTTAGTTCCAGTTTTGACTAACGAAAATTATTTATATTAAAACTTATAGTGAAACTTTTAAGCATGGTAAAACATGGTCCTAATCCTGATAATAATTTCCAATGAGGTTGATGGTTTGATTATTCCCAACTCGTGCTGTGCTTTGTAGGTGGCTGAGGGAGCTACCGCACTATACATTGAGCAATTACGTGGGATTCAGTATATAACAGATCGTGGAGCACAACAGCTGTCTGTTGATATTGAATACTTGAGCAATGTTCTTTCTGCCCTATCAATGACGATTCCCCCAACTCTTGCAACATTCCACACTTGCTTTTCAACGCCAAGAGATCAGCTCAAGGAACTCGTAAAATCAGATTCAGGAAATCAGCTAGATCTCCCGACTGCTAACCTCGTCTGCAGGATGCGGCGTGTGAGTCTGGAATAGCGATTCACTGTATCTGATGGAGGTAAGATTGAGGTGTAGTTCACCGTCTAAATATCAAGGATATGACTATTTTCTTGTGGTTAAATACAGGAGGGAAATGAGGTTTGTGTATTCAAGCAAGAGAAATTATTCACACTGAAGTTCTGAAACAAAATTGTCCCATAAAGTCTTCTGTTTGATTTACAAGTGTAATTTCATTTACCATTTTTAGAGAATAAATACAAAACATATATAGATTTGTTATAAAAAGAGAGAATAAGTGAAGAGATTAAGAGAAGTCAATCGACTTGTGTGTTATAATGAGAACCAAAGCACTATATTTATAAGGGAAGGAATAGGGATACATATGGTAATTATATCTAGGGTTGCAGGGGTACAAGTGTCATTCACATTAAACCCTAATTTACTTTCCTTTTACAACACTCCCCTTGAATGACACATTACAAAATATCTGTCTCGTTAAAATCTTGTTTGATAAAAACCCAATGGGACAAAAAAAATCAAAATGAAGGAAAAATATTACAGTTATTTTGGAGTATTAAAGATAAATGCTGCCCATTAAAACTTTGCTAGGAAAATTCAGTGGGATAAAACCTAAATAAGGAAAAAGAGTACAGCTACTCCCCCTGATGTTGATCACTGAAAATCTTTGAGTCGACACATTCCAATCCCGTGACCCAATTTCTCGAATGTAGATGTTGGCAGTGCTTTTGTAAATAAATCAGTCAAATTGTCACTTGAACAAATTTGTTGAACCTCAATGTCGCCATTCTTCTGAAACTCGTGTGTGAAAGAATTTTGGAGAAATATCCTTCGTCCTGTCACCTTTGATATAATCTCCTTTGAGTTGTGCAATGCAAGCAGCATTATCTTCATACAAAATTGTTGGACTATCTTTTGTTGAAATTAATCCGTGCTTGGATATGATTTGTCATGTTCCTCAACCATATACATTCTCGGCCTACTTCATGGATTGTAATTATTTTGAGAATGATTTGAGGATGTTGCGTCAATGATTGCTTCACAGATCTCCATGATAGAGTCGTTCCTCCACGTGTAAACACATATCCTGTTTGTGATTTAGCTTTATGTGAGTCAAAGAGATATCCTGCATCTGCATATCTCACTAAAGTAGATCCCGACTTTTGAGAATAAAGTAATTCCAAATCAATAGTAGCCTTTAGGTAACGAAAAATATGTTTAACACCATTCCAATGTCTTTGTGTTGGTGTAGAGCTATATCTTGCAAGGAGATTTATAGAAAAAACTATGTCTGGTCGAGTGCAATTTGCAAGATAAGTTAATGCTCAAATTACACTAAGATAAGGTACTTCAGGACCAAGAATCTTTTCTCCATCTTCAAGTGGACGAAAATGATCATTTTTTATATCAAGTAATCGAACAACCATAGGTGAAGCCAATGGATGTGCATTATCCATATAAAATCGTTTCAAAACTTTTTCTGTATATGTAGATTGATGAACAAATAATCCTTTTGGGAAATGGTCAATCTGCAACTCGAGACAGAATTTGATTTTCCCCAAATCTTTCATCTCAAATTTATTTTTCAAATAATCTGCAATTTTGTTGAGCCCTTCTGAAGTTCCAATTAAATTTAAGTCATCAACATAAACTGCCACAATTGCAAATCCAATATTTGTTTTCTTTTTGAAAACACATGGGCAGACATCGTCATTTTTATAGTCTTCTTTCAACAAATATTCGTTAAGGCGATTATACCACATGCGTCCGGATTGTTTTAATCCATATAACGATCTTTGCAATTTAATTGAGAACATGGTTCCCGGGCACGTATCATTTGTTTTTTACACTATCAAGCGAACCATACAAATAGGCAGTTACCACATCCATAAGGCGCATCTTGAGCTTTTGTAACACAGTCAAACTAATTAAGAATCTAAAAGTGATAGTGTCCATTACGGGAGAATATGTTTCCTCATAATCAATTTTTGGTCTTTGTGAGAAACCTTGAGCTACGAGTCGGGTTTTGTATCTTGTAATTTCATTATTTTCATTTCTCTTTCGTACAAAAATCCATTTGTATCCAACATGGATTACATTTTCAGGTGTTCGAACTACAGGTCCAAACACTTTTTGTTTCTCTAAAGAATTCAATTCCGCCCGTATGACTTCTTTCCATTTTGGCCAATCATTTCTATTTTGACAGTCTTTAACAGACAATAGTTCAGGATCCTCATTTTGCATAATATCAAGAGCCACGTTAAAGACGAAAATATTATCTATAACAACATTATTTCGCTCCCATAATTTATGAGATAACATATAATTTATTGAAATCTCATTATTTTCGGACACTTGTGATTTTTCAGGAACGATATTTTCAATATTTAATTGATCAATTTTCTCCAAAATTACTTTTTCTGAAGTTTTTGGTTGATTTTTCTCTTGTACCTTTCTTTTTCGAGATACAGAGTTTTTTGAACCAACTGGTCGACCACGCTTCTAGCGTATTTGAGATTCATTTGCTACAGCAAATTGTTGTGCAGGGACATCAATTTTTGTTGGAATATTTTCTGCTGGTATATGTGATTTTGTCACTTTTTTTGTGTCAACAAATGCATCTGGTCATTGATTTGCAACTCTTTGCAAATGAATGATTTTTTCAACATCTTGCTCACGTCCGCGTCTACGTCCAAATCCATGTCCACGTGCACGTCCATGTTCATGTCCTTGTCTTGATATTGTATTTGCTTCAAACAATGCAGTACCATTTGCTTCAAGCAATGGTACAGAACCAGTTAGACGTAACCCGTGATTTTTCATCAACAATTCATTATTTTGTTTAGCCACAAGCAGGCAAGATATGAGTTTTGAGTACCTTTTGAAACCATGCTCACGATATTGTTGCTGCAGGAGCACATTCGAGGCGTGAAAAATGGAAAACGTTTTCTTCAACATATCTTCATCATTGATTTTTTCTTCACACAATGTCAATTTTGAACATATTCTGAATAATTCAGAATTGTACTCACTAACAGTTTTGAAATCTTCCAAACGAAGATGCCTCTCATAACG